TAACTACTATGTCTAATCTAGTCATAAAACAATTTAAGATAACTGGAATGTTAACGTGGTGAAGCCAAATAAATGCAATACTGGCCTTCCATACAGTGAGCCTGTTGAACTGACCCTCTGCTGCTCTGCGCTCTCAGAGCACAAGTCGACATTAGCAAGATGGATTTATGACTGAACGAACATATTTTTATCATCTCTGTGGGTAACAATACACAAAAATCAAGTTTTTTCTCCGACAACTTGTGTGTGAAAAAAACTACGGTTGTTAAAGCTTCACTCTGCGCGACGTGCAGCGGGAGGGAGGAGGAAATAATCCCGCGACACGACATAACTTTTCTACAGCAGGAGGAGGAAATTTTGAGGATTTATTCTTTCTATACATGTTTTAAAAYGCWGTATTTCTTCATTTGTTTTYAGAATATTTWGAATAAATGGCCSTASAAAAAAAWTTTWAAGAAATTGTTCACCTGCCCGGTCGGGCAGGCATTGGGACACACCCACCTGCCCTAATATGAGTTTTACCTGCYCYGGGCAGTCGGCCAATAGGATTTGTCGAACCCTGGCTGTAACAAACAACATGAAGTAGGGGTGCACACTAACTGGGACCACACATGTTGGGACAATGGAGAGTTTCCAGCTATGTGTTATCAGGCAAGTTGTAATTGTTCAGTCATATCAACTAGTATTGGCTATGTTACATGCTGTCATCCCACAGTTATGGGAATATCTGGGAAGACGCTGGCAGTGGAAACACATGTGAGGACTTACTCGGCAAATGTGTTTCCACTGCTTCTTTTAACTAAARAAAATCCAAAAAACACCTGAAGTGAGCATAAAAAGGTTTTTTTTCTTCCTATTTTCATCAACTTTGCTAAGGAAATAGTTCAAAACGTGTATTAAAGCATTGATGGAAACATGACTATTGCCTTGTCAGTACAAAACTGTGATAAATGCTAAAGAAAGCTTGAATCATTTTGTAAAACTAAACCAGACAGCCTTACCTCAATGAGGTAGAGCACTTGTGAKGGTGAGGGGCCGAAAAAACGCGAATCCAGTGAAGGACTCAGACTGTTCTCGCCTAGCTTAGCATGATCCAGACACACAGCTCTCAGATTCTCCACTGTGGTGTTATCTGCAGACAGCACATATACGACCACTGACATCAGTCTGTGTGCATTATTCAAGGAGCTACTCGTCATCGAGCAGCAAGGATAATACTTTTAACACACCTGGAGGCATCAGTTTCATGAGAACTCGAGCTCCATCTCTAAGCTGAGGCATGTTGAGGTTGCAGCCCAGGTCAGCTATCTGCCACAGGAAGGAGATGTAGCGCGGGTGCAGTGACATAATCTGTCATTTAGAACAGAAGATATACGGATCAGCACAACYTCACTGTGGTGGTTCACTGGTTTAAAGAACTGTCGTTAACTCACCACACCAGGGAGACAGCTCTCTACTTCAGGGTTGGGTCCATCGCTGTAATGGTTTCCATGATTACCAGGAGAACCAGTGGATGAGTCCGATGAGCTGTCTGGACTTGAGGGCATGTTGGCACTCACCTGGGTCAGTTTGGCTGTTATCAGCTGTATGACAACAAGTTTCAGTTAAAGTGGAATTAATAGGTGGAGAGAACAATTCTATGTCCACACACACACACACACACACACACACACACACACACACACACACACACACAC